ATGTTTTAGCCACTAATTGGAATGATTTAGGCACAACACGCAGTGCTTCAGCTTCGACCCACAGTCTTTTGATTTCCACATACAAGCCTCATTCATACCACTGTAGGCGATAGATTTCAAAAAGTATTGGAATACACTCTGAGATTAAAAGCTCTGGAATAAATCAAAAAGTTATACCACAAAAGGCGAATGCCTACCCTTCCGTATCTTTGCTTGAAGTGAACTCTGTTTAACCGATGTGGATACATTAACAGGCCGCATTTGATAAACGACGTTCACGGCAATCTATGGTGTGGAAAGCGTGTATCACCAATGCGCCGATTAGCTCACACCAAGCCCGCCTAGTCATGCTTGTCCAGATGCTGCTTTGAATGATAGACAGTCAGTTACTTGGACCCAAATTGACGAAAGACGATAGAGTTTATTATATGTTAACTCTATTGGAAAGCCTTATACCGGATCAGGAATTCTTTGTGAACTCGGACTGTGTTTCCATAAACCTACTGAGCTAGCATTAAATTTCTTTTCATTTTATTTCTTTTTATTCAATATACAAAGGTACAATTTTTTCAGGTAGGGGGAAGCGTCCAATCAAATGGTTGCTATTTAACACATCAAGGAGAAATCAGGCGGTGGTGATGAGATTCGAACACACACATCCCCGGGGTGATATTTTAGTGACGCTATCACCGGGTCACCACCGCACAACTTACGGGTACTCACAATTAACTATGAGTTGAGCGCAAATTATCTCAAGTACTCGGCATGTCGAAGCATACACATATGTAGCGACATCTTACGAACTAGGTGATTTAGCGAGTTTGGTTGAACTGATCATTGAAACGAAACTGTATACGATCACCGACTTCCAATCGTTTATCAGCTCATTGTAATGTAGTTCATTCATTCATGTCGTCTACATCGGGGCTGCCTTATTAGAGCATTTTTCATCTTTGAAGTAGACGAAATTCCATCCGCCTCTCCATGTTACATTAAATAAGCACTCATCATGAATGGTTTTCTGTCTGTTGTTACAGCTCTATGCCTTCGCATTTTCGAGGAATTTCCCCAGTAGCTGTTTCAAATGCTCATTTTATGTTCGGTATTGGAACAGTCAAGCACTGCATCATTTATATCTGTGATACATGACTCAGGTGTTTTATGGCTAAACTAACCTGGGCCCGACTACCACCGATCGATTTATTGCTGGTCCAATCCTTTTCCAATAAACTGGCAGTGCAACAGTTGTTTTGTATCTGCCGGAAGTTGATCTCACTTAGAGCATCACGTTCTCGAAAACAATCAGCTTTTTCAATGCGCCGTGGTTGAACGTGTGCATTCCATCAGGGTCAATGAAGTAACTGTCTACCCCAAACTCTCAATCCCATCTATTCTGTTACCAAGGCTATCCTTCATTGTTCTCCATCTTACTGCACTTCCTATGCTTCGTGTATCGCCATCATTCACTCGTCATCATCTGTGTTTCTCTGAAATATTCATATCTGGTTGTTATTGTCACTTTGTGTATTGAAATTCTACTCCTTTTCGATGTTATCATCATCTGCGATATGTCTGTATCCCACAGCCATAATTCCAATCTGTATCTCGACTTAAATTCACTCCCTCCTGTTTATAATTTTCCGTTCTCCTTAATTTGCATTTCTCGTTTGGGCTCGCTAATATTGTCGACTTCATATCCAGAAAGTTTTGTCATTATTACCTGGTGAAGATGGTTTTTACTACCTTCCTCCACCACTCCCTACTTNTTCTAGTTCTGAGAACCACGGAATTGTGGAACAATCATCCCCACCGTTATTTACCGCGATCTAATGCCCCTTCTAAATTGAAAGGAGGGATCAAGCAATTTTTCAAATGAATGTTCCCCGTCCTCAATGTACAGTCTGTATGATCATAGATTGAGATTATTGTTAGGTAATAAAACAGAATGAATTGAGCACGTGATAGCTGTTACCATAGTGTCACAGGCACGCAGTCTATATTAACCTGTCGATTGTTGACGCAGTATGGTTGCTGCGCTTGGTAAACTGCGAACGAGGGTCATCGACGCATCCGTTTTTAAACCAATTNATTTCAAACGACACTATACTATTGTCTCGTTGAAAATTAAAACTCCAGTTTAGTTGTATTAAAATGAAATGGGAAATTTGTTATTCCATCATCATATCCCCTTGATGTTTAGATTCCGAAACATTGATGATGATCACAATTATGGGAGTGAGAAAAGACATCACGGGGTGAAATACTGTTGTTGCCGCGTATGTAATGCAACACCAACCCTCGTCTTCTGAGAATCGCGGAATCAGTTGCACAAAAAGAACTGACAGTTACACTATCACTGTTTTGACAAATTTAATACGTGTTTGCCCTATTCATGTGTTACTGTTGAACTGGTAGGCAATACAAAGAGATGAAGTAAAATCTGTTTGCACAAAGTGTGCGAATTATCATTGTAATCCCCTCTCTACAAAATGTGCTGTGAGTAAACTGGAGAGAACAAATGTTCTGGTGGAATGCTAGGCCGACCGTTCGACCCATAGTTTACCGTAGATTCAGTGAACTTCAGTCAAGAATGATGGCCCCAAGCGGTAATTGATCTGAATCTCTGTCTCCTGTTAAAGTAGCGATTTGCGTCAAAGAATATAGATGGACTGACCACCATATTGAGTCTTGAATGCAAGCGAAAACAGCTACGCGACCGGGTTGCACTTTAACCCTCTATGGACTAATTAGCTAAATTCTATTTAAACTGCTTCTTTCAAACTTGACTGGTTGGTTTCAAGCAAATGCAGTTGCACACATTTTCCATTGAAAAGCACCGTGAACAAAAGCTTAACAAACGAACTCAAATGTAGAGAGAAAGTAAACGGTATTTCACTGAACATCTTTTAACCACTGTCCACCAGAAATACATTTTTATCATTGCAATCTCCAGAATACCTATTTCATTCTATTTAAAAGTTTCCAATACATATTAGCCCACGAGTAATCTCATTGTTGGTTTTATAGTGCGGTCAGACGGTGAGCGGTCTGAAGTTTGAAATTTCATTACTAGGCGCGGAGAATAGATAGTCTTAAACTACTCTTTGTGATCAAAATAACATTTTCGGTAGCAAAGTAAGTGTGTCTAGTTAATGATTTGTTTGTCTCCGTGAATACACCAAATCTGAGGTGTTTACCCTGCAATATTTACGATACCTCTTGAATGACATACGGTTACATCTAACATTAGGACGAACCATAAGTAATCAGTGTAATAAGTAACCTTTGCCACACAGACACACACACCGAGCTTCGTTTACCTCAGAAGCACTCTCTGTTCTGAAGATGGGGAACTAACTGACCATGAACAAGAACACATTTTGCTCATGTGAGACAACCTAAGTAAGTTAAATAATCGGACATTGATTTGAATTTCCTCACCTTTACCATCCATCCCTTCTCCCTTATGAATTGGGTAAAGAATCACCTTTGCGTTCCAAATGCATCAATCACATTGCATTCCATTTATACCATTATCAGCGTTGCAAATAACATCATCAGTTAAATATGTAATTACTGTTTATTAGAATGCAATCGCATGCTGTTGTGTAGTCAAAGTAGTAAGGGGACTCAGTTGACCTCCCGCGGTCTCCTATGTATGATTTCATAATGATTTCATCTGGAATGATTCGACTTAAATCAAAAGCCTAAAAGATCGCTGATCCTCGAGGACATAAAACGTATGACCACACCATTCAAACAAAATACTGTTTCTAAATGTTTTCACAAATAAGTTTTCATGTTATTTAAAGCCACCTTTCAATGCTCGGATTCAGGCTGAAATACGGGTGAAATTGAGAGCGGTGCTGTCGATAAGCCATGAGATCTTACCAAGTAAATCTCTGGATTCAAATATATTACACGTTTCACACGGCCCATGACTACCGTCACTACACTTACAAATTAAGCATATCGATTGATGCAGTGAATTAGTTAACATTTGAACAGTAGTAATCATCTATAAGCAACTCAATTGGAAATCGCATACTAACTGATTGTACATAAAATACCCAAAAATGGACTAAAAGCAGAAGAAAAAAGAAACGGAATGATCTCTGAGGTTGTACAATGCGTCACATGAAAGACTATGAGAAAAACTTACCATTAGGGTTTTATTTAAGAATTGAATGTTCTAGTCATGCATTTTCATGGGAAAAAGACGGGTTGCTGGAGAATTACGCATACATACACAGAAACACACACAAAATAGTACTAGGTGTTATGTGAGAGGATGAAAGGAAGTAGAGGTCAGGAGATGGAGAGGAGGGGGCATTTTCCTTTTTGTTATTAGGCCCCTTCGAATGTTCTCCAAACCAGGCAGCAAATATCATTCATTCGACAATAGCAGGAAGAATGAGGCATATGGGCTGCTTGAAGCCAGAAGGAGTCATCCGTCAGAAGCACGACCCAAGAACGTCCATATTTTTCATCCAGATAGCTTTTCATCTGATTCGATACGTCTTCCTTCGATTTGACGGAACCGAGTAATTCGGCCATTTTTTTCAGAATATCATCTTTGAGATTGTCGGGGGCATCGGCCAACAGAATGGTTATCCCATTTTCCGATCCGGGAGCAGCTTTTTGCTGTTTGTTTAAACTCTCACTCCGTTGAATTCGACTAGATAAAATCAAGTGAAACCAGGTGAATTAAATCTCAAAACGGATTTACATTGTGACAATATCAAGTGAAGGTCATTATCATTTATTTCTATCTTCCCCATTGGATGTTATCCATTTGATATCTCCGTTGAAAGTAAATTTATAAAACTGTTTTATAATGAGTAAATTGAAAGAGGGGCGAAAATTCAATGAAATAATACCTTTTTTGTGCTACACAATTCTGTGTGAGCGGTTGATGCATCAGGATCATAGGTGTGGGTCACGATGAGGTAATGTGATGTTTGTTCTACAGATCTTTTGATACGGAGCAGCAGATGGGGTAAACGTCGCTTTCCCGAAGACCCACTTTTCACATATAACCCGGCAACCTATTCCCTGAGACTTTGAGGGATGAACACACAAGTGATGATCAACCAAGGGACATGAAAGCTACGCGCCATTGAAGTCGAGAGGCACTGACAAGGTTTGACTCTTAAACTTTAGGGCCCAAAGCTTGCCAACGACAATGAATTCAATCGCTTGACCACCACCAACACAGATGGATCGATAANAAGTCAGTTATGACCGTGTACAATCGAACATTGCTGGGAACAATGTGGAACAAAAAGTAAACAGTTTCACGACCGCGAAATCCAGTGCAACTAGGAATGTTTCTTGTAAACTAAGGAGATTGAAGTTATTAGGATTATATGTTAAGACTAGCCGAAAGTGCTGAGTACTGCAATTGACAACGGAGGGGTTTGTATCAGATACTGGTTAAGTTTATTTTCAATTAAATTTTTCTCTGTTAATTAGATGTTAAAGAAAAGTGTGCATTTATTTCATTCGGCTTTGATAAATGCGGGCGCGATTCTAAGGGACTTAACATATTTGTAAATTATTTGTCTGGTGAAGAGGGGTCCCATTTTCTCTGACCATCAGGGCAGTAAAGGAGGATTTAGTATTGTTACTGGGTGGAATATTTCTATTCCATTATGTGCGTTCTATTCCATTCATTGAATAGGCAAATCGACTGTGATTTGCACGTAGCTGCGTGTGAAAATTCGGCTTTAAAAATTCTTAAATATTATGCTTATTCTCTTCATAAATGTCTTTTGAGCTTCCACCCCAGTCTCAAAATTCGCACCCACCGGAAAAACTAACAAATTTCGTCAGTACCGATAGTGCCTTCTTGGTCTACTTATAAACTAAGATCTGATCGCGGTCGAACTGCTAGCTAACTTGCTTTGAACTGCATTAGTTTTACACGTAGATGTAGTTATCTGCTTGTCTTCGTCTTTCTCACAAAGTTAGACGTTTTATTAGTTACTGAAATGCAAACTTCGTACGTGCGCACGCTTAACAACACGATGCTATTTTTCATTAAGTATTTTATGAGCTCAGGTGTAGTATTTACTAATCCTGGTACGAATTACACAGTCCACGTGAAAAATCAGGTGTGCACTGAAGATATTGATCAGGTAATCCTCTCACTAGTCCGTACCTGAAACCAGAGAAATATACAGAACGTCAAATGTCGCGCAAATGAAGTAGCTCGCCTCGTCAAATAATTCATTGGTTATGGGTTCAAATACTGAAACCGTCGCTCATTTGTCAGTTTCTCGGGAATGGCAACAATGACGAAATAACTGAAAACTTCTTTTCTTTCCGAATGCCGGAATCAAAGCGTCATGTGTTCACATTCCGTAAAGGAATCATTTACGTTTTGATCAAATATCTTCCAAAAGCAAAATTGAGGAAACATGGTTCTCTTCATAGATAAATTGTCACATATTGAGACACTGTACACTCTTGCATACCGCTGATTGTCAGTACGAAACATTTCAACAGTAAAAGTAAGATCCTTATTCGAGTAACTTGAAGCAAGCATTGATCTCCCTTTACCTAGCTGACACTAGTGAAAAACACGACAACAACGATTACTGAATCGCTGTCAAGTTTATAATCATTTGAATGGAATGAATGAGTAACAAAACGGGGGAATATCGGACCAGTTGCTATGGCGTACACCTTTAATCAAACAGGCAACCTGGCTAAGCAGAGATCGAAATGATACCTTCATTTTATTCACACCTTGATGAGCGGGATAAGATAAATAAAAAAATTGCAATCCACTGGAGTAGAAGATAATATCACAATGTCCTTTCAATCTGTGCGGCGTTTTTCACAATCCTCTCTCTCTCATGCTACTTTTTGGTATCCACCATTTTTATCCTGAGACAAAAATGTAAAACAGGTGGATATCCGATGACATATACACCCATACCCACACATACTAGATTTTCTGACCATTACTATGGACCTGAGTCTCCGGGACATTTGAAGTGTTACCAACCTTTTCACTCTATCTCATTCAACCAGTGAATTACAGAGTCTGCAATCCAGTTTGTTTTTTACGAGTCCTAGAATCAGATGCTAGCGGATTGACATACAATCGGTGCTACAATCTACCATGTGCTACTCAGTCTTGATCACCGCCTCTACCGGACTGTCAAAACTGATCGCACACATCATGCCAGACAGAAATAATCAATCGGATGGAAAACCATGTGATCAGCATTGAACACTAGACAGATAAACAAAATCTAAATTTTAAATGTGCATAGCACATGTCAAACAGACCACAGTGCTTGTAGTTATTACATGACATTGAAAGAAACAGTACAGAAATACCAACTTTTCAGAAATGAAAACAGAAAGTTCTTAGTGCTGTGAATATGAACACTGCCACTGTCAGTCTCGCTGAACACTGTGACGTTTTGGCAGGCAACTGGCTTTTACGGGAATTCCATTCATGATTAACCACTGCAGAACTTGATTGATTGTGGATGCACTCACTGAGTATTATTTCAAAATATCCCCATCATTTGGTTTCTTCAAACAAGCCTATGCAGGAATTCATTGCTGAATACCTCCAGGGGCAAAGTTTGGTCGAACGTTTTGGATCCAAAATGCACCAGAACTTTACTTTTCAATCGTTCGTTTAATCGGGCATTCTTGCAAACCTCCCCTCTCACTGGTCGAGGCGGGACTGTCGAAATGATGGTCTGGACAGAGCAGTATTATAAATTTGATTGTGTCAATCGCAGACTATTTCAATGGTTTTAAGAGGAGACGAAATCGAAGGTGAACAGCCGTTTTTCACGGCTCAGCCAGAAGACTATACACACACCTTACAGGAAATCGATGTGTTCATAATCTGATCATTGTGTCGGTCAAATTTTGTGGGAGTACGAGTATGGACGAGAGTGAGGATGTGAGTGCAATACATATGTGGTGAACCACTTTAATACCGTAGTTCTTCAACCACTGGTAAGGCGCTGATCGGTTCATGACCAAGCTATTTCCACTTCACCCCAACCCCTGAGTCAGACACGCCTGACAAACGGGTCGGGTTATTTTCTGGTATATTCTGCAAGTAAAACCACTTGGTAGATATAGGCCAACCTTTTTCAGCTAGGTCTTTCCGTGTCGGAATCATTCATCGGCTTTTGAACTGATTATATCGACACAAGTGACCGTTCTTATCAAAACTATCAAATGGACTACTCAGAGAATTGTGTTCGGGCACAGTGTTCAATGTTAGAGGTAATATAAAAATCTAACAGAGAAAAACGGCTTTCTGCACTATCTAAATTTCTTCCTATTGTACAAAATTATTTCAGCACTTCGAGTAGAAGCATCATTCCATCCCCTTATAGAAATCTTAAACTACACCTAGCCTACCCATCTGTGATAAAGTCAAACAACAACTATGCCTGAACTTGATGAGCACAAACGGAGATTTATTTTTAATTAAATAATAAAACCTATGAGTTTGTATCACTTGGTTATTTTCGAGGTCAGCATATTTTTCCGATGTAATGCTTTTCCTAATAAACTGATTGACGCTAAACTCCAATTTCGTGATACTCATTCCTACAAATCTCTGTGATTGCGCTATACACCATAGAGTTCCCTCACACGGACCAATAATCAAGCTGCATTGACGTCAGCATATACCAAAGAAAAGGGAACATATCTAAACAATATCGGGGTGATTTGCTTACGGACCTGGAGCGATCAGATACCAACGGATCTCATTGGACATCAGACAGGGGATTTTCACGTGATTTATGAGCCAAAACGTATCAAAATTTGCTGAATGAAGTTTCTTAGGTGTAACAGGACCGAAAATAGAGTTTGTGCAAACTGTCCTCTTCACGTGCAGTACGTACGAATATGCTCATTCAAAATGCCTGAGTGGAACATCTGTGGATTTCAGTGAACGGTGACGGAAGCACTGACACCTTAATTTTTACATACAAATCTCCCAGGTTCATAAATACGCAAAAGAAGACCGAAACACCATGAAAAGCGCACAAAAGTAAACTTCACTCCGGAACTTGCCTTCTTGTTACCACTACAAGAAACAAAATTGGATGAGTGCATCGCTGATTCACTAACTAAATGTTCAGGCAGGTTGCAGCACCGAAGTTTCGGAAATCCAGAATTCCAAATTTTCATGCTGCTATTATCATCGGAGTAGGCAATTTCAACTTTATGTCGATCAGAATTGGAGAAGGACGCACGGAGTGAGAAAATGAATATGTAGAGGTCATTTTAGTCAATTCAACCAACGGGTCCAGACAAAGCGAAAGAATTCTCGTTTTATTTTCAAAAGTGATGGTCAGGCGGACTGGAAAAACAAACGAACAACAAGCGAACAACAATTCCTCTCCCGGAACAACTTACGCACTCGCTGGAGCAATTCCGAGAGTATCGCAAAAACTATCCAAAGTGATTCCACCCGTGTGATTCGGATCAAAAAGACGCTGCCAATCCTGTGGGGTTCAAAAAGAAATAAATAAAAGTTCAGTCATATTTCATCGGAAGAAGATGGTTTTGCGGAAAAAAGACTGATTGGAAACGATGTATCAGTCGATGCACGTCCGCATTTTTTCACAACATAACTACATATCCACAGTGTCCATCAGTCACGCAGATCCATTGTGAACTAGCTGCTTCTTTCAGTTACGAACTGAAGCAGAAATACCTTGGGATAGGATAGGTTAAACAACGATATTGGAACACATTTTCGATTGTTTCTGCGAAATTATTATTTTCGTGTGATTGCCTGACCTATTGAAAAGACTCTGCGTAACCGCACGTTGGTTGCTCCCGATCAAGACTCTCAGGTGGAAAACAATCCCACGCACATTCTAGCTGGTCGATGAGCTGGCACAGTTTTATTAATCTACGATATGCCTTTATTCGATTGTTGATTCACTCAGAACTCGACCATAAATTTATCTAACTTGACTAGAACACTGCGTACGGAGAATCATGATTTTACCTGATTCTGAACAGTGTTTGCAACATGAAAGTTCGTTATACAAGTTCATCACATTATTTAATTGGTTAATTCAACCAAAAAGACAAACACGATTGAGGCAAATTTTGAGGTTACAGGAAACCAAAAATAATTCCCAACGAGCTCTCATGATGCCATTTCTGGATCAATATACGTGCGAAAAATATGACAGATGGAACTTGGAGTTCTAGTATAGATCTCATTCAGTCTGTAATCTGCGGGAGGTGTTCACAGTGTTTCGTGTATAGAAACGGTTTAGGGACTTTCGGGAGGGAATTAGCTCATTTCAAAAATTAAATGCTATGTAACAAAATAAGTGTACTCTTCTATAAACCTCAGTACTTGTGGCGCATAGGTAAAATAAAATCAAGGCACTAGGTCCATCATGCTTGACAATATACAAAAAACCACAGTCTAAGTGGCTATTTGCCTTCTTCCCCAAGAGGTCATCCTCGTTTTGTTCTGGAGCCAGTCTGAAATATTGATGCTCGAAAAGAGAATGAGGAGTAACTTGGAGTGCTTAACTCCTTAACTCGGTCACTTTCGGATCAGAATAATCTCCAAATGATAAGGAATGCGCACACAAATGAAATAGATTTATGTTTTATCCACACTTTCTCCTAGTCAATATTCCAAATTCTGCATGAAATAAAACATTATCTGTTTGTGCTTGAAAAAACTCCAGTTTTGTATGAATAATATTAGTCGTACAAAGTTACTTTTCCCCAAAAACAAATGAAAATTTAGTTCAATAATGAATGACAGAATTGTATAAACTGTAGTACGGTTGTCTTGATCGACAGTGTTTTAAACTTGCTTAAAAATTAAAGAAATTTTCTTGAAGAATACTGTGGTCCTTTGTTATAAAGACGAGAATATCCTGCGTCTGGCTTTAATAATCATAAGTCGGGCATTTCAGTTAAATAACTGCTTTCAATCGTGGAATTTCACGTGATCCTATACAACTTGTCTATGCTGACTTGTTCCTTGTCTTTCCCCAGGGTGCACAAGCTCCAAAAAGCCAAATTTTCTACCATATTGAACCGCTCCACAAGATTCCTCTTTCATTTTAACCTGGTATCAGTTTGAACTAGCATGGAGTGACGAAAATATGTGAATATTTGTAATCGTTGGAGGAATCCATTAGGAGATCTTCCATATTTTAGGCAGCTAATCCTCTAAGGTTTTGTTGGTTTTCACATACTCCGTGAGTGAAATGCGAACGACTTCGAAAAGAAAATTCAGATAAATGGTAAAGTTAACTTTCACTGCAAAAGGATGCCTGAGCACTTGATTCCCTTTGGTGGAATGAAATGCTTGGCTTCTCTTAGCCCGTAAACGGGAAACTCGTGTTCACGTATGTGTACTTGACCAATTCCTTTTGGTCAACAAAATACTCATGGTATTTGTAGAATATTTCAGGATTAGCGCAGTTCATTCAACGAAAGTTTGGTTTTGCCTTGGAAGACAGCAACTTCTACCAAAGGCCATCTATCATTCTACATCCGCAATGCTCGTTATCCTTTTGTAAGCGATGCGAGCATGCTACTAATAATATTTCAGTAACTGAACAGACAATCAGCATAGAATGTCATCAATACCAAGTCTCGTTACAGATACGAACTTACCGCTACCATGGTCTCTTCCAAATCGTTTTCTCGCACATATTGTTCCAATTCACTCATGGTAATTTTCTCACTACCATCCTTATCGATCGCGAAAAACACTTTTAAAAATGGGTCCATATTCCCCGGCTCGTTTGAGCAAATCCTCGGAGTTCAATCGGTTTTGTGGGCACTGCATCGGAGCACTTAAATTTATATCAAATTCGGTTTCACTTCTGTGCGTGTGTGTGCGTGCACGCATTGTGTGCGTTGCTCTATTTCACGCAAACCGCCAGTTCCGGTTCAGGGACCTGTGGTCGTCGCTCTTCAGATTGACGTTCTCTTTCTCTCACAAGAACGCACAAATGCACGTACGCACACACATCGATTCATACCAAGATCGAAATAGTTAGCCACATGGATACTTGGATAGAACGATTTCAAAAGCACGGCTCAGCGTGAGCTCTCACAAAGATGCAAAGATGTCTGCGTCCCATCGGCTATGCAATGTTAATGATGATAATGATGGAAATGGAGGTGTATGTGTGCGAATACATGCTATGTAAGTGACACTTGAAATAGACAGATGAGTTAATGATCAAAATAAACAGAATCGAATGAACAGTTAGCCTGTTGCCGTCACTATAGAACCAAGAGGAACTCCACAGTGTATGTTTTGAACCGACACTGTTTTTGTGTTTTGTTATTAGCATCAACCGGTGGTGATCAAAAGAGGAAACCAACTGTGGAATAAAAAAGAAAACAAGCCTTCAACAAGATCATCAAAGTCAACATCAGACGTTCTACGTACGAGGTGTAATTTCCACGACCGTAATAAACTCTCACGTCTTCTGGGGCCTAATTGGAATGCAAAACAAAGAATCCTGTCGAATCACCTTCTCCGCTAAAATTCAAACGGATGGATAAAAATGCTTGAACACTGCAGATGGGCGAAAGAATCCGCATCCTGTGTAGTCATGAAGAGGGAGTAGTGAGCTAAACCGAATACACACTAAAGAATAAAAATTACTTCAGGATACAGTAATTCACCATCAAATTGATATCAACAAAAACTAAAATTATTTAAAGTAAAATATAGGTATTGATGAAACTTGTGAAATAACGGTAAGTGCCACATTGAACCGATGAGGATAATCGCATCAGATAACCATAAAAGTACACTTCAGAATGAACGCCAAGAATCCACCATTTCACAGTTCTTTAGCGGAATGAAAGCACTGTGCAAAGTCCAACCGGTTACCACTCGGGAACGGCTTCATAAGAAATTGCAGCGGACTAATAGAGCCAATAGCAACGTCGTTCACGTTCATTTTGTTGAAAAGCTTCGAACATATGAGGATAGCGTCAATACCGTCTTTTAGGGTTATCGCCTCTTCATGGCAGCCCATTTGGACATGTCAGGATTCACATTGAAGAAAATGATGAATAGACACCTTGTAAAGTATACCGTGATCTTCAAACCCAGTCCTGAATAAGTGGATCAAATTAGAAAGAGAAAATTGAGAACTACTCAAGGGGACACTTACTATATGACCAATATCTGGATTTATTGTCAACGTGGAAGGCTTAAAATGAAGTTAAATCTTTCGGCTTGATTTATGGTTTGTCAACCTCGAAAGGGGCCACAGCTAGAAAAACATGTGCTAACCATGAAACGATCAACGAAGCGGAGCGGGTAATAATCACCCAAAAGGCAAAGTTTAACGTGGATTGCACATTTCGCGAAAGAACAACGCAAAGTATCCCCTCAAGATACAATAAAACAGCGTTGTGTTAGGACTGATTTTCGATGAAAGGAAAGGAAAACATTCGAACATATTTTCAGAAAATTTGCTCTCAACGCATATGGTTGATTCTTCAATAAGAGCAACTTGAACCAAGAACAGTGACAAAACATCTAACTAAGAATCCGCTAAACTGGCAATCCTGATATTCTCAAAGATATTGCGGTAATCACGAATATGGTTTCTTTATTCAGTCACGGGATCATCCATACAAATGGGTTGAATCGAATCTCAACTGCTCTAACTAGATAATCCACCGGATGCACCAGCAGCTGCTATTCAGTCCGTTGCATTCGCAACCCGACGGTGAGACTATTTCTTTTTACAGCAAGTCGAATAGACCAACGGATTTTCAAGTTTCCCCCGTGACCTTATCAGATGGAAGATGGTGCGTAACATACCAATGGATGCTGCCAATGCCACAACCATATTAACAATAAGAATAATAGGGGATAGGTGGAATGAAGTACAGAGCGAAGTGGAAAGAGGATGAAACAGTTAAATACGGTAAAATGGAAGATAACAGGGGTAACAACTTTTCCGTATGTTTCACCGTACACCTTCAACATTTTTTCCGTTATTTTGTCGTTTCTTTACGGGGAACGGGATTTTGACAGGCAAACCGTACAGCGCCACTGACTTCTATTCTGGGCCATTACCTCACCGTGTCTAACCATCGACCAGCCTCCTCCCTTGGGCACCAAACTGGAAGGCTGGCTGCAATAACCGAAGACAAAGCTTCAGCCAACTTCTTCATGCCTCTACGCCATGTCATGATCTGACCGCCGCGCCGCTCCTTCCAGCCTTGCCCGGTACGTGCAAAGAGAGCACGGAAAGGTAGTCGATGGGCAGGCATACGCAATACGTGTAGAGTGATTAATTCTGTTAAAGAACGACTATCCGCACCCAACACGAACGAACCTCGTCATTACTCACCCGGTGTTCCGACCAAACACGAGCAATGCTTCGAGATATCGGCGGTCAAATACAGAAAGTTGATTAGTATCCTTAATGCCGAGGGGCCAGGTCTCTCAACCGTAAAGGAGAACGCCACGAACCGCGGCGATGTACACCCTTCCCTTACTGGATAGTCGGATGTCATGGCAGCGCCACAGGTGTCGTAGGTTAGGGAAAGCTGCTCTAGCTTTCGCTATTCGTGATGTGATCTCCCCAACACCACCACCAGCTGCGATCAAGCTCTCGAGGTACTTAAAGCTNGAGAACGCCACGAACCGCGGCGATGTACACCCTTCCCTTACTGGATAGTCGGATGTCATGGCAGCGCCACAGGTGTCGCAGGTTGGTGAAGGAAGCTCTAGCTTTCGCTATTCATGATATGATCTCCACTTTGCACTTTGAAGGTGCAAAGCACATGCCATACCTGAATAGCTCGATCACCAAGCGGTTCAAAACCTCTTGGACTGTGTGTTATCACCCAGAAAGGCGATGTCATCGGCATATTCCAAATCAAGAACTCTGTTCCCTGGGGAGAGTTCCGCTCCACCGTTTGCTAGACCGAACAAAGCATTCTGTAGAACATCCTCTATGGCGAAGATAAAAATAAATGGGGTATAAGGCAGACTTGCCAAACTCCACTGGAGACGGCGAAGGGTGGCGCAAGCTAGTTATGGGCCCTAACCCGACCTGAGGTATGACGACACAACTCTGTGAGAATCGACACATACTTCTCAGGTACTCCATTCCTCAACAAACAGCTACATAGTGCGGTCCTATTGACAGAGTCGAAGGTCGCACGGACGTCTAGGAATACAATAATCGTTGGTCTTTGGTAGGGATGACGGTACTCTAGCTGCTGTCGGAGGGTGAAGATTTGATCCATGCATCCGTGAACGGTACGAAACCCAGCCTGTCCCTCGTGGGTCTGCTCCTCACGCATAGTGTACAATCGGTGGAGAATGACGGATGCCAACAGGTTTGACGCTATCGGGATTAGGCTTATGCCCTTATGATTGGCGCATTCATTGCCCGGGCCCTTTTTGAAGATGGGGACGACAATTGATTCCCCCCACGAGGGGACCTGCTCAGTGTACCACACTTTAGAGAACAGAACTTGTACTTCTCTGACAAGCTAATTCCGCCATCTTTAAATAGGGCTAGAGAAGGGCCATCGGAGCTTGCCACTTTGTAACGTCCCAAAGCTTGGATCTCCTTATGGATTTCCGCCTCAGAAGGTGGGTCTGTTGCGACAGACCATGGGTCGTGTGCCGGAATAGCTGTGTGAGAAGCTGACGTCGGAGGCCAGCTAAATTGTGCTTTGAAGTGCTCTGCCCAGCTTGCAAGGCGTCGCTTTTGTCTGTGTATAAGAAGTCAGAAACTGTAACCACAGTGCGATTATTCACCCTATCCCCATTCTCTCTCCCTACGCTATCGACTAGATTCTCATACAGTAAGTTTTCCCTACCTCTGAACCCTTTTCGCAATCTGATTGGACAATTTTCGGTACTTGCCATGAGAGTGCCCAGTCATCATATTGTAATGTTCATGATAACCATAGTGCTATCTACTATTGAGCCGCGTGATAATGGTACCCCTGCTGCGAACAGTGGTTAGCAATCATCGCTTCCCGTTCGTATTAGCTAGGCGGGCGTTGTGTCTATTGTTGCAGCTGACCTAGCTGATTGATTAACCGGTAGAAGAATACAATCGTTCGCTTGTTTTTGAGTCTGCTCAGGAAAAAGTGAAAATAACTTTGCCATCCCATGGCCGCTACACGATTGTCACAGAAAATTGTCGATGAGGTTTTGCGGTTCTGATCCAATGACAGCGGGAAGGATTGTTCATTTCTGACTTACTACTGCAAACAATAAACAAAACAACAACTCATACTAGGTAAATCATTGATTTTTCCAACATTTAATTGGCCCAATGCGCTGCGCGGACGATTGAGATTAACTCAAATCAACGTCTTTATGATCCTATGGCAATCAAGTTGCAGCGGGAGCTGTTACCTCTTGGCGACCGTCTTTTTTATTTTCCATAGGGATAAAGAACGGGCACATTAAAACTATGCAATAAACTGAGACACAGGTGTTCATCACTTCGTTGCAATTAAGACACACGCCGAGCACGCGTGTGAAAACAGCTGAATTGAATGGACTGAACAGTGAGTTGGTAAACAAAGAATGGTTGTTCATGCATTCATCCGTTCGGAGGGTGTGACCCGGAGATCTGCTTCTTGAATGATAAATTATCTAATCAGACATTTCTGCTTGGGTAACCTTTAAAGTTTATCAAAATGCTGTGCACATAAAAATGACTGAGGTAGAACAGTAGTTTTTCACACTCGAGACACCAATGTGCACGTGCAAATGAAGGTTGTTGACCTTCAACATTTTCCGAGTACCGCTTTGGGAAAATAAAGCAAACGACTACGTCGAACCCAAAAAATATTATAGTGATGGACCCTGATCGCAATATCCATTGTCACAACGGATTTGGAGAACTTTGATGATTAAAACACACATTGCGCACGCCTACCTGCTTCTGAGTCAAAATTTCAACTGAAGTTCACCTGCACTTAAATCGGGCGAAAACTGTCTACAAAGACAAAGCCCACTATACCTAGCTGATCGTGTCATGTATGCGTTTTCAGGCAACACATGAAGAATTCCAGTGTCTAAATCCCGTAAGGCAAAAGCCGGTTGCTTCAACTATGAGAAAAATGCGAACAACATTTTCTTAAAACCTTTTAGCTTACTCTTTGTGCGGGAGTTGTGATCAGCGAACCAAACTGTACCTGAGTATCGTCCTAGCTTCTTCAACAATTACATCCCTACTTGGGATATATTCCATTCTGTAGCGATATTATTTGCACAGGAAAGCTTCAAAGTGAGAACTATTTTGAGGCAGCTCTGTTCAAATTGAAGGGGCAATGTTTTATTTCTGGTAAAATGATGTGTGGCACTTCTGGGCCCCAGTATTCTTCCAGGTGTGTTTGAACTAAACCACTACCGTCCATTATGAAGTAGTAAAAACATTGGGAGGCCGTGTGTAAGAACTATCGCCAATAGTCAAGTGTTACAATGCGTGGATCAAGAGAAATAAGTAAAATAAATGCCATGCGTTTACTGATCTTGGGTGCGTAGATGTGTCGAAAGCCTCAAATAGTATTCACTTGCCTTTCACTATCAGTCTGAATCAGTTAGCAACAATGTGCGGATTGCAGTGAGAGATGAATGAAAAGGGATGGTGATATGAAGTTCATCTGATGTTCTCCAGATGGAGGAAAACTTACTTGGCAAAATTTATCGACGTTCACAGTCCGCGCTGATGAAAGTTGTCTACGTCGGACCTACCTTCAAACGGGACCATATATTCAATGATACGCATGAAAACCTCACCTGGACTATGAACCGCACAGTTAGGAATTTGACAAGCCACCTGCAGGATTAGTCTATCGGCATGATGCTACGTACATTGAAAAGAATTTCAACATTGGTTTGAAACATACGTCGCAATGATCGGCGAACTCGATGTTGCAAGACACCCTATAGTTTATTAGCAGCAGTTGGGTCTACGAGGGACACGAGGTCAGAATATCTTTGTAAAGGATGACCCTTTCTCTTTTATATGGGTCCACTGCATCCATTAACATATAGGTGACTAAATGTTCAACTGTTTTCACACAAACGATTGAAGACAGCAAGCGAAATGTTAACACCTCGCAGTACTTACTTTCCTTCGACACAGGCCAATTGAGGTAAAGTCAATGCTTAAAGTTGCTTATACTCTTTTTCTCTTCTGGAAAATCGATTTCATAACAGTTTACGGAGAAAAACAAGTAATAAGTCACTACGCAGTGTTCCTATTAACAAAATCCACGGGTTTCAAATTCCTANACCCCGCCGTGATCAGTGTAATTTAATGGGACTGTCATTTCAGTCTTGTAATGATTAAACAAGCCGTATAAAAACTAGAGAACCACCAATTATTCCAATATAATGGTACAAATAGCGAGCCAACATTTTCTGAATACGCAATGCTAATCCGCTTCAACGAGGATGAGACAGCTGTCCAGTGCTCTTGCTCCCCCCCCCCCCCCNATAAAATGTAGATAACATGTGCCACAACTTCTTTTCTTTTCCGTATATTGGGACGTGTTCACACGAACCAAGTGATCGTAGTGAGGGATTTCCATAAAGACAACAAAATTGCAAAAGGACATTTAATGAGCTGTAACTGTTGACATCCGGATTCCCGTAATCTGAAATTCGCCATCCGTAGCACATGAGATGAAATCAAATGGATCGAGTACTTTTCTTCTCGTGATGCATCGTCAACGATGTATTCATTCGAGTGTACGTATATATAGTTCGGCTGACTCGCAAAATGTGAGCTTCATCGCCTACGCATAACCGATCAGCCGTAGATAAAATGTGGTGTCACCGGGTTTTGCGCTGAGACAGAACATTCAGTCTCTTCGAGATCGGTTCTAAGTGCAGGCACAACGTTCTGCCCAATTTCGCGGCACCGCTTAGATCTTTGAGGATGCAATGTGCATAATTTATCAAGCGACTTCGCTCACCAAGCGGTTTTATGTATCGACACCGCGGAAGCCCATGCCATAGGCAAACCCCAAGCCTTCTACTACGCGAGATTCGGTGGATTTCAAAGGCAATCCTTGTCAGTAACGCAATGAACTTAACACCAACTCACCCCCAGCTTGGTAAGAGATGCAGAAAACAGAACGTGTTGCAAACACATTGTTCCGAGCTTATCACTGCTATATTGCCTCATTAAAAAGCGTTATCAACAACAGGAATTTAATCACAAAGCGCACACACAGTTGGGATTGTCCAGTATTTTAGACTTCTCGCAAACACAAGGCCTCAAACTGATACTGTTGGTATTTTTCCCGGGGAAAGCACAGAACTGATACCAACACACGCACAAGGAACGGTAAGAAGAGAGAAATGTCAACCACGTTCATGATGATACACGCCAATCTTGATTTGATAAAAATCGATTTCAAACAGCTAAACAGTCAACTTGCCGCACGTAAGCACCAGAGTTGCGATAAAAGTTGGGCAGAAATCTAACTTTAGAACAGAACGTGAGGGAGGTACAGAGGATAGCACATTGTGAAACATCTCAGTTACATATAGAATGACCACTTAACACGATGGATAAATGTACAACCGATAGTCGGGTGCACCAGTATTGAAGCCAGAAGAATGTGCAAACAGAAAAGACAGACAGGCAACGACGAAAAGAAAGAGATTTGAAGCGAACAAAAATCCCGCTGGTTTAGTTCAGATATTTGGCTCGGTTGGTTGACTTGGTGTTTCGATAATATTGCATCTGTGAGACAGGCGTAGCTCCCCTGCCAAGTAGATGCACAGATGTGAAAAGATGTTGAATGAGGCAGAATAAGAGCAATTATCGAAGTCTGCAAAGAGGGGGACTGCCAAAACTGATATATGATGAAAATCGAAAACAGTGCAAAAACAGAAGAGAAAGAAAATCAATGAGACGGCGCATTTGTGGACGGGGGAAAGGTTGGTTGACCAGTTGGGCAAAACATTAAATCTCAAAAATCCAGCGCGCAGTTGGATAACTACGAAAGATAATTCTATCCGCGGTATAAACTCGATTGATTGGAGCACAAGAACGAGAGAATAGGAAAAGCGAGAAAGAAAATTAGGAGGGCATTTGTAGCCACAATGGAAGGTTCAGAAATTTGGGTTAAGTTTGGTTGGAGACCTTTGACCACTGGAGAAAGTTATCGTGATTGAAGGAAAGACTGCACGGGGCACAGCGAAATCAGTGGCATACGGTCATAAAATTTCCATATCCGTTGTTCGTTAGTTCAGATAGAAGCCTATCTCTCGGGTGGCTCGAAGCAAAACAGTCCGAAGTTCCTCTTCTGTCTGGTACTCGGGCAGTTTCAAATAGTGTACACAAGTGTTCACACTAGGCAATGCACCGGTGCCCGCATCTTTTCGTACCACACGCAAACGAGGATGGAGATTTTTCAGACCGCCAGGAGGTAGACTGGAACAACCGGTGGTGAACTGAAGAAAAGCACGACGTTCGAGAGCGTTGAAACTACACAACACATTGATTAGCATCTGGTATGTGGGTGACTGATGGGTGAATCCGAAACAGGGGACTGTGTACGCCAGCAAATCTTCACGAGACCATTGGGCGACAGAATCCCCAGCGATTAGTTGTCCCAACTCGCGCCCGTTGAACAGTGCGAGCCAATCCAGAGGAAGAACTAGTTCGAACCCGGCTGGATTAAATGATAACGATGTATTGACAGGGTCAGATTGAACACTTTAAACGATTAGTAACAACGGGCGAAAGTCTTTCACTCCAACAACAAATTTAATTCGATAAAGAAGCATGAAAATATTTCCTGTAAAGACGAGTTAAGAAAAGGAAATAATGAAAGCTGTTTCTTATAAATGACAAATGACCGATTAGTTCTGGTCGATTACTTTATAGTGCACAATAAAGAAATATGGGAGTGATTCAGTTTCAGTTTCAGTTTAAACAACCATTAAGCATGCATTTTCGTGCGACGCTTTTAGTTGCTGTCTTTTGGTTGTCCATTTGGGTGAACAATAAAAGGAAAACAAGAAGGTTGAAAGTAGGATCGAACAGCAAAATTTAGAAGTTCAGTGGACTAATAATGCAGAGAAATTGAGATGTACGAACGCCACTGTTTACGACACCCAGCCATATCACTCAGTGTGTCTAACCATCGGTTACGATCATCCCGAGGTCCCCAGTCAGAGAGCCAAACGGGACCCATGTGACCCAGTCCCCTGGTCAGGGTTTTCATACCCTCATGCCAGGTAGCGAAACGAATGAAATAAGTGCAAAAAGAACATTAGGAATCAAAGAGGGTCCCCTCGCCAGTCCTTCTATCTCTGATGGTTCATATACACGAACCAAATACATGGCAGGACAATTCTTACAGAGGTTAATTAGATTCGGCTTTTCATTATAATTCCTTATCAGAAAAATATGGTTCGCAAAAGTTCGATTCCGGGCTTATCGAATTAGGCGAATAACCGTGCCAAGGTGAATATCGCTTCAATTAAAACGCTGTCGCAAGGAACGATGGTGGTGCCAGAGTACGTGACCGGTTTTCGTCTGACAACCATAAATATCTCTCCGACAAAAGCCACAAATATTTCTAGAGAACATGAGATTCGTGTATTTGGTCAACCACTTGATGAGGTAATCACCACAACCTCATTGCCACACTACAGATGGTACCTGAGTGAGGATTAGGGGTATATTTTCGAACAAAACGGACAGCGGTATAGAGGATACCACTTTGTAACATATTTCCAAAAGTCTTTGCAGATTCTTCTATGGAAGAAACTTGCGTGACCG